ATCCATTTGTTCATCCATTCATTTGTTCATCCATTCATTTCTTATCCATCCATTTGTTCTTCCATTCATTTGTTCATCCATTCATTTCTTATCCATTCATTTCTTATCCATTCATTTGTTCATCCATTCATTCGTTCATCCATTCATTTCTTATCCATTCATTTGTTCATCCATTCATTTCTTTAGGAGGAGAAGGAGAGGACCCCAGAAAGAGACACCAAAGAGTAAGCTAGTTCTGCCTAAGGTGCCTTCAGTGAAGAAAACGTTGAGCTCGTCTTCGGAGGAAAGGTGGGCTTCCTGTGTATATTGTGTATTTATTAAAGTGAGAAAGAAAAAAGGGAAGAAAGGAAGGTGGAAAGAAATTTTTGAAGGGAGCAAAAAAAAAAAAAAAAACTTAGAAGAGAGCAAAAAGAAACAGAGAAAACAACTTGGAAAAATATTAAAAGAAAAAAGTTCGAGTGCATGTCAAAGCTAACCTTGACCTTGTTTTCTCCAGTTTCAGCTCCCCCCGTCTTCGTAAACGAATGTCGACAAGATCTGAASCTGACCCCGACGACCTGATGGCTGAAATGGCAATGTAGAATACTGATAAGTAAAACTTATAAGTAAAACTAGAATAAAAAAAAGTCATTTAGTAAAATCATTATTGAATCATTCCAAATGGTATCTCGTGCTTCTCGGTACATCCGTGGATCTCAACTATATCTTCACGATTCAATAGGATATGTTAAACTGATGCTAAACGCATTGAGAAGCAAGTAAAACATTGTGTAAAGTAAAACGTGTACTCTACCTTGATAATGGCCGCTTAGGCCGAAAGCTCGGTATTAAAAATATCACTAGTAAACGCAGAGGACTCGTTTATTTTTAGAAATTATGCCTGCGTACAAACAAATTCTAAGTAAAACATTATACGAGAAATTAAATTCACTTTTTCATGTCCGCTCTAAAAACAGACGGCTTTTTCTTTTCAAAGATAGAGGTAAAGTTCTGTCGTTTCTGAAAAGAAAAAGTAAAAACGACTTCTAAGGGAGATTATTTAAGGGCTATAAAGAATGCAGGGACCGCAACTCCCATCATGCTAACTTGCTTGATTGCATGACCCAGTCACGCCACGAATTGATATGTTGGCTAATTTTGCCAGTATCAAAAATCCTTTTACAGGAAAAGATTAATAGTGTATGCATCAAGTCACTACCGCTGTCTTTAGCTAACGGGTCGTCAGTATCTAACAACATAGGTCGGCGCCATCCTTGGAACTTTTTTTATTAGTGAAGGTTGGTTCATGTTGGTTGGTTGGTTGGCTGATTGATTGATTGATTCATGATGATATATTTACGGATGGTGCCCATACGTACGGCTAGTTCGTCCGAAAACGCTCAACATTTGGACCGCTTTAAAAAAATACTCAGATGTTCGAACTTTCCGACTTTATTTGAGTTATCCCGTTTCGTTGGTAATCTACTTCTTTCACAACCCGGGGATTGTCTAGTTCGGTCAGGTCGATTTCTTTAGTTCTCGGCCGATTCTGACTTTATTTGCGTGATCCCGTTTCGGCGGTAATTGACAGCGGGACAGCAAATACAGTTATCATTGACACCTTAGAACATGTAATCTACTTATTTCACAACCCGGGGATTGTCCAGTTCGGTCAGGTCATTGGATTTCTTTAGTTCTCGGGAGCTAAGAGATCAGTTGCAGAAATGGGAAAGTACTTAACGGCCAGTACTGCCGTTCTCGTTTCTTCATTTATGATATTTTTCCTGGCTCAATATCAAGACTCAGACTTAGTACTTCGTTTTTATGAGTATTTKGGCGCCGAACCGTGTTCTGTACTTAAAGGAAAGGTCGTCTGGATWACTGGGGCGTCTAGTGGAATTGGCGAACAGCTTGCYTAYGATYTGGCAGAGTGTGATTGCAAGCTTGTGCTGTCCGCTCGTACAAAACACAAACTTGAACAAGTAAAGAATAGAGTTGCAGGTAGGCACTAANGCTCATTTGAATTTGCAAAGCTTTTTACAGAAAAGCACTTTACAAGATTGGATTATGTCTAGTTCAGTTCTGGTTTAAACTTAGCAAAAGATTCATATCCAACATACAATCATATATGTAACATGTCAAAACAAGTAAATCGTCAGGCAACATAAAAATCATATACGTGCCAATAATAATATTAGAAGTTCAATTTAGCAATCGTCTGGGGTCGGTCTGGTGTAAAACTCGGAGTTTGGAGTTTAAGAGTGTTGGAGTGCCGGAGTTTTGGAATCTGACATCATAGCTAGAGACTACGTGTTTTTTTACCAAGGTACCGAATAAACGTGCTCCCAAAAAATACGCTGTAAAGACGTCTTATGTCAAGGAAATCTGTTCTAAACAAGTCGAAATCTTCCAAACAATTTTCTAAGCAGAAAGAACTGGAAATTGAAAAATGGAAAACGTTGGCATGAAAAACGGCGATTAGTCCAAAAATGAAATGAAATATTAATAGGTTTTCTTCTCAAATTCATGAATCATTTATGAGAATAAAACAAAAATAAATTACTGCCAGTGTTCCAGTGTTTGTGTAATATAATGTGGACATTTTCAATTTTCAATTCTAGAAATTGAACGAAAGCGAAATCCCTTGTTTGATAAGGACGAGAGGGTCCTGGTTCTACCGCTTGATGTGACGTCATTCTCTAGTCACGTGAATACTACCAATCAAGTCATTGACAGGTTTGGACACGTGAGTAAAGCTTTGATTCATTAGTGAATTATGAGAGTCAGGGCACAAGTACCTTAATCAACATGATCGTGAGATAAATAGAGGATATTACATGGGCTCGCGGAGATACGGATTTTATCTTCGAGTGTTGAAAAGATCTCTCACGAATGAGCGTAGCGAACGAGTGAGAGATGTTCAACATGAGAAGATAAAATTCGTATCTCCAAGCTATCATGTCATATTCTGTTTATCATATGAATACGTATGAAAGCGTTTTTTTTTTCAGTGAATGCTTTACAAAACACTTCAATGTGATACATTAATTGGTATTCCACAGATAGATTTTTTGGTAAACAATGCTGGSGTGTCGCAAATGCCCAAATTCTCTGAGGACATCCCTTTTGAAGTCGAAGAAAAGCTCCTGAACATAAACCTAATCGGTGCCATCTCGTTATCAAAAGCCGTCATTCCTTACATGGTTAAAAGAAAACAAGGCCAGATAGTGCTAGTTGGTAGCATCTTCAGTAAAATTGGTGAGCATTCCGTGGATATTRAAATACCTTGTACAGCACCAACTGCCTGTAAGAAAAACACGGTTTTCTTGGATGCAAAACATAGAAATGAATCCGCGAGACAATTAGTTTCTTKTYKAATTTGAACAAGGGAGGATTTAAAATGCTCTAATAGATTTTARTTGTGGTAATTGAAGTAATTATCGCTTGATAATTCAAGATGGCCAACCCAACATCTCGCGAGATTTTGTCTTTATAATCAGTGTGTATATATTCTTTATCAGCTTACCCAGGATACGCAGCGTACTGCGCCAGCAAATCAGGACTAAGGGTTAGGAAAATTTATCTTAAGTCATGTAAAAAGTCATGTAAAGCGCTTTTGATCTTTTTATTGTTAAAAAGCGCTCTATTAAGTAAATAAATTATTGTTAAATTATAAGCCTCTCTTCCATGTAAAGCGGTACCTCTGTTGAGCAGCCACCCTCTATCACTGGAAAAAAATCGCGCTCTTTAAAGTTTGTAAATTTGATGTAAATATTACATTTACATCAAATTTACAGAATTTTGGACACTTACATCATATTTACATCAAATTTACAAATTAAAGCGCGCGATTTTTTTCCAGTGTATTAGGCGGCCACAATACTAATTTCTAGTAGCTATCTATTGCTTGTAATAAAATCGATCGTACAAAATGTGGGGGGGTTGCACTTCCTTTCATGGCGTGGTCTTAAAAGTGGCATCGAACATTGCATAAAATGACGATATGATCACTTCCACCATCCAAGAATTGTTGTTATGACGGCAATGACCCTCTTTTGTCTGTTGTTTTTTTTTTCCTGTTTTTTTTCCTCTTGATAAGCGCGTTTTAACTTTGTAGATTTATTTCGATGCAATCCGTTCTGAGCTGTCGTCGTCCAATATCAAGATTGTGCAAGTTCTTCCTGGACCAGTTGTGTCCAACATTCTGAATAACGCTTTTACAGATACTGTRAATGTTGTAAGTATTCTTACTTGCCTATCTTACCAGCTTTCCTTTTACTTCCACGAAAGACAAACTTTCAAAACATCGTTAACTTTTCCCAGTCTTGTTATAGTGCATTATTTAGAGAGTTTAAGCATCATGTTAACGGCAAACGTCTAACGACAGAGCTGAATCAATGACCTAAGAATTTCGTGCCCGATCTTATGCTTTTGGTAGTCATTGGAAAGAGCGGCTTTTCACGATTATGGCAAACTCAAAATAACCCGCTCTCGCGTTGAAACTGTAACGTTAAACTCTAAAAAAGCAGGTCACGTGATCTTTTCTGCCGTTTGCCGTTTGCCGTGAACGTCATGCTAAACCTCTCTACAAACCCAGATTTTAGTTAAATAATAGCTTTCTTGTATTGTAGACTGCTAGGGACCACTCAGGCTTTAAAGATTTCACAAACCACTTCACATTCATCAGATTCATGGAGACGAAACGTTTCACATATCTCATGACGGTCGCAATGGCAAAYAATTTAAAGGAATCGTGGATGGCCAACGTTGAAATATTGACACTGGTTTATCTATCTCACTATCTGCCATTTATATAGTGAAGTATATCTAAATGAAATAGCTGTGGTGTAATGATTTTAGCTTAAAAATAGACTGACTGATATTTCGACGTTATCGAAGGAAAGGTCCATTTTCATAGGTCTATGTGAGGCGAAGGCCACGTGAAMAYCAGCGAAAATCAGTGGTGAGGTAAGMGGAAAGAGAATATAAAAATCTTCCGTTCTKCCTCYYTCGTTCTCCGTCTTARRTTACTTCACTAATAGGAAAGAAGGATAAAAAATGGATCATCAAAAGAACAACGTTTAAAACCCCTTAAGTTTGTTTGTCTTCTTATCATTTTATCGGAACCTCACATTAGAAACTCCGACGCAATACCGATGTAACTCCGACACAACTCCGATGTAAAACCGACGTCGTTCCGATGACTATATTCATTCAATTAGCAGACATTGTCGTCTTTAAAACTATTAGTGACTTATTCCGACTGAACGTATCCTATTTGTGCATACATTGCCATTGTATATTGCTTTTACCTATTTTTATTCGTATTTTTATGGTAACTTGGCCGTCTTCTTTATAACCATTCTGTATAATGTTTACTAATTATAATAATAGGTAGGTTTTAGGTTTGTTTGAAATTAAAAAATTGATGAACGATTGGATTTTTGAATGATTTCATACGAAGCTTTTCTCTATCTATTCCCATAGTCCCATGCGCGCGCTAATTGACGTCATTATCTCTTTATCCAATTACCGCTTCGATTATCTCTGACGTCAACACACAATTTTAGTCAATTTGTTCCCGCCATCAGCGCGCGCGGAACACACTATGTAGTCTGGGTGTTCGAGTTTTGAACTGTTTGCGTTTATTTGAATTCTCAAACAGGTGCCTTCTGCTTCGTATCGAATTTCTGCCGTCCCCCGAGTCAATTCTTCACTCGTGGGGATGGACAATCCGGTTCAGGTGACTTTTCGTGGAGTTTCAATCGCTGGCAGTCAGACTTCGTTCACACCGCAGACTTTCGTCATCCTTCCGCGCTCTTCGCGTTACCGTCTGTGGGAGTCGTTCGTGACGTTAGTGTGTTACGTAACGTGCCTTCTAGTCCCGTTCCAGGCTTGTTTCGATTCTGAGCCTGAAATCTTATGGGTTCTTGCGTATCTCTTCGACGTAATCTTYTTGATMGATATGGTGGTGCATTTCTTCGTAGCGTATTATCACAAGGCGACGTTGATAACGGACCGTGAGCTTATTCGACGTCATTGCCTGCGACAKCGATTTGCTATCGATTTGTTGTCGATCCTTCCGTTGGACGCTTTTGTTGCTGTCAAAGGTAACATGATGTGGTATCAGATGCTCAGCTACGTACGGTTGAATCGAATGCTAMGATTTCATCGCTTAATGAAATATTTTGGTAAGTTTTCCTAATTATCTTTTCATATTCAATATTTTTTTTTCTTTTGTAAAATGTTTTATTGTGTTTTCCATAAACAATAATCTGGTTCTTCAATAAGTGATTGTTGGAAAAATGTGTTGGCTGGATAGTTAGCTGACATGTTGGTTGGCTAGCTGGCTGATTGGTTGACCAATTGGTGGGTTGGTTGGTTGGTTGGTTGGTTGGTTGGTTGGTTGGTTTGTTTGGTTGATCAGTTGGTTGTCTGGTTGGTTGGTGGGTCGGTAGGTTGGCTGATTAATTGATTGGTTGGTTGGTTGGTTGGTTGATAGAGTGGTTGGTTGGTCAGTTGGTTGTCTGGTTGGTGGGTTGGTTGGTGGGTTGGCTGATTGGTTGGTTGGTCAGTTGGTTGTCTGGTTGGTTGGTAGGTTGGTTGATAGGTTGGCTGATTGATTAATTGGTTGGTTGATAGATTGGTTGGTTGGTTGGTTGGTTGGTCGGTAGGTTGTCTGGTTGGTTGATTGGTTGGTTGGTTGGTTGTTTGGTTGGTTGGCTCATTGGTTGCTTGGTTTCTTGGTTGCTTGGTTGGTTGGCTGATTAATTGGTTGGTTGGTTGGTGGATAATTGGTTAGTTAGTGGGTGGGTGGGATGAGTGGCTGATTTTCTTTAACAATCAACAGATGGCCGTGAAAATGAACTTGGCACCAATACCACAATCCTGCGTGCCGTCAAATACCTGGCAATGGGTACAACGGTGTTGCATCTGTTTTCCTGTGTCTGGTTCTTTCTTGCTTGTGACAATGTTGGGATCCCTGATGCGACTTGCAAAGCAACAAGCTGGGCCATGGTTCTAGAGACAGGTTTAACTATATTTTACTTCTGATAGCTATATATGGAGGATTTACTATACAATACAATACAATACTATACTATACTGTTGTCTATGAATGTTTCCTATAGGAGTTGACAAGGCAACATTGTGGAAGAAATATGTGTATACATTGTACTGGGCAACAGCTACAGCTACCTCAACTGGGTGAGTTGTCCTTCTTGATCACTCTCTTTCTCTGTACATGTTTGTTGATTGTAAACTAGTCATGGAAATACTCCCTAGATATCATGTTTATATCATGATCACTTKGGGGCGAGATCACCGGATACCTTTGGGAACAATGTGTATTTGAATGAAATCTCTTAAAAAATGAACTTGTTGAACTTAAAATTATCTATATAGCTCTCACAATGCTTGCTCATCTCTTCTTTGTCAATCTAAAKTTTGGGCCATTCAGCTCCGGTCGTAACAGGTGTCATGATAGGTTTAGAAAACAATGGWCAAACAATAGATARGTCTTCMAGCAATAAAACAAAACCTAACCTAACWATAGARCTGCTGTAYTTAAAAAGYAGGTTTCGATCAATGCTGTATTASTGTKAATTTTATTTTCTGTTCWTGAAAGACAGRTRTATGTTGTGCTGTTTCACTGATCATTAAATAAAGTTTATTGATATTTTCAGCTATGGTGATGTCCATGCCGTTACTAACACAGAGAAGTGGTTTTCCATTGTTGCTATGTTGATGGGT